CATTTTGGTTGGCCAGTAAAGGGGACATACTAAAACAAATGACAGTACTTGACCATAGAGAATCAATGGAGAATACTTGCCCATAGAGAATCTTTGGAGATTACTTTCTGATAGAGAATATAGAATAGAGGCTGGGTTGCTAAAATATTCAACACCAAAAAAGGAATCTATAAATGATTCTCTATGGACAGGTATTCTCCAAGTATTCTCTATGGACAAGTATTCTGCAATTATTCTTTATGGGCAAGTATTCTCCGATGATTCTCTATGAGCAAGTATGGTTTCCCTGTGGGCAAGTACTGTCATTTGTTTCAGTAGGTACCCAAATAAAGGTATCACAGATGGATTATTGTTTGAATCCCCCCCCCCCCATGGTGGGGTTTCGTTTGCAAGTTGGCTACCCTCTGCAGCTGAGAGAGTGTGACTGTTGACCAAGGTCAGCCCAGTGAGTTTCGGTGGCCAAGCCAGGATTCGGAATCTGGGTCCCAAACCATACTGCAGGAATAATCTGCTTTGAGACCACTGTAACTGCCCTGGCTCAATATTTGGGAAATCTAGGAAGTGAAGTTTTGTGAGGGGTTTAGCCCTTCTCTGTCAGAGAGCTCTGATGACACAATAAACTACAGTTCCCTTGCTTCCCTAGCAGTCTCAAACTGGATTGTTATTTGTGTGTCACTTTTACATCAAAAGAAAAGAAAGAGCACAGAATACAACACGGTGGTCCAAAGCACACTGCAGAAATAATCCAGTTTGAGACTGCTTTAACTGCTCTGGCTCAATGCCAGGGTATCCTGGGTATTGTAGCTTGCTGTGGCACCAGAGCTATCTCTGACAGAGGAGGATAAATGATTTACTAAACTACAGTCCCCAGGATTGCCTAGCACTGAGCCAAGGCAGTTAAAGTGGTCTCAAACTGGATTGTTTCTGCAATGTGTTTTGGACCCTGGTCTCCAGGGTCCTAGTCCAGCGCCTAAACCCTTACACCACACAGGCATCTGCACTGTAGGAATTAATGCAGTTTGATACCACATTTTAAGAGGCAGTGTGGTGTAGTGGGATGAGTGTTGGGCTAGGTCACAGTGGTTCCCAAACTTTGGTCCTCCAGATGCTTTGGACTTCAGCTCCCAGAATTCCATACTGTTGGTCAAGCTAGCTTCGGCTTCTGGTAGTTGGTCCAAAACACCTGGAAGATCAAAGTTTGGGAAACACTGGAGATCAGGGTTAGAATCTTGGCTCAATCATGTAAACCCACTGGATGGCCCTGGGCAAGTCACACTCTCTCAGCTTCAGGATGGCAGTAGCAAACCACCTCTGAAGAAACTTGCCAAGACAAACACCATGATAGGATTGCCTTAAGAGTCTCCATAAGTGGGAAACGACTTGGAAGCGCACAACAACAACAAAACACTAAGTGCTGGAGCTCCATGCTATGAAATCTTGGAATTTGTAGTTTTACAAGGTCTTTAGGCATCTCTGCCAAAGAGTGCTGGTGTCACATGAAACTACAGATCCCAGGATCCTGTAGCATGGAGGCACGGCAGTTAAAGGAGTGTCAAACTGCATTATTTGTAGATGCACTCAGTGACAGGAATGGATAAACTGAAATATGAGGGGATGTAATCCAAACTTAAGAGGAGGGATTGATAGGTAAATGGCGGGGATGGGGAGATAATATTTGTCTGTGAGATAGTGAAGAAAATTGAGTGTTTGGCTAGACTACAGTAAGATGTATATATTCAAATCTAATGTAAACTATGATTGTATTGGTGTTGACGTTTAATCTGGGAGTACTGTATGTTGATATGAGGCTTAGGTGTGTTCTTTACCTAATATTGCTACACACTAAAGTTGAAGGATGCCAAAGTTGAATGAGTTCCTCACATACAAACAAAAGATAAAACAGATACTCTCTCCGGGAGAAAAATGTAATCCAGCCTCCTCCCTGTTGCACTAATTGTAGGGTTTGGATTTTGAATCCAAACCCTACATCTTACAAAAGTGGTGGAGCCTTAATTTTTCCGACTTATGGCGACCCTATAATGGGGTTTTCTTGGCAAGTTTCTTCAGAGGGGGTTTGCTCTTGCCATCCTCTGAGGCTGAGAGTGTGTGACTTGCCCAAGGTCACCCAATGAGTTTACATGACCCAGCAGGGATTCAAAACCTAGTCTCCAAAGTCCTAGTCCAGTGCTCAAACCACTACACCGCACTGGCTATGAATCCTACCTGTAGTCTGAAGTCACTTTTATTGTACATTAGGAGGTTCAAAAAGTTAACTCTCCATCTATCTCCAGGGCAGACCTTAATACTAAACTGAATGTGCCTCATGTCTGGTTGCACATGTGGAGTCATTGCAAGCATTGACTCTTGCAAGTATGAAACAGGAGCCCTGCTGAATCAGAACAGAAGCCTACATTGGTTTGTTTTTATTTCAATTTTATTCTATCTTTCCTTCAGAGCCAATAAACTAACATTTTATTGGTTTGCTCCTCTGTTTTGTCCTTACAGCCCCCTCCTACTGTTCCCACAAGTATATTAGTGATATGCAAGTTCAGTACAGCCATCATAACTTTGTTAAAATTATGCTCCATGCCTTGGTCAGTCCCCTTCTAAATCTACCACATTTGTGAAACATCACTACATCTTACAATAACAAATTCCAAAGCAGTGGTTTTGAAATGGTGGGGTGGAGGGTGTAAGATTTGCTCAGGGTGTGTGTGTGCAAGACTTGGAGGCTCTTATACCTTCTCCTCCTTTACGTCCCAAACTTTTTTATGTGTATAATGTACACATGCATTGAGTTGAATATTGAATTTATTTAAATAAAACTCTTCTAATTTGAATTAAAATATGAAAATAAATGAATGTACAAATGGAAATTTCTTGTTGTTTGCCTTCAAGTTGTTTCTGACTTATGGCAAATGTATCCTGGGGTTTTCTTGGCAAGATTTGTTCAAAGGTTTGCCATTGCCTTCCCCTGAGGCTGAGAGCTCATGACTTGCCCAAGGTCAAACAATGGGTTTCCATGGCTGAACTGAGAATCAAACCCAGGTCTCCAGAGTCAAAGTCCAACTCTCAAACCACTATGCCATACTGGCTCCTACAAATGAAAATATGTACACTAACAAAATATATACTATGTTGAGTGCAGGGGCATAATGTCCACATGTGGATATAAAGGAGGGTACCAAGGGTAAAAAGCCTGAGTACCCCTGGAATAAAGGATAAACTCCATTGTTAGTACTAATTAGAGGAGTACCATGGAATCAGTAGGAACTTGGGGAACTGACATTGATGCAAGTGCCATTGAATCTGTGTGGAACTAGCAGTTGGATTTAGCCCAAATTACTTCCATCACTTGTCCTGAATCTTATGCCATTTAATTTTAACATGCTCCCATGTTACTATGTCTGAGTGAGGAAAAACATGTTTTGCCACACAGTGCATAATTTTATTTATTTGCTTTTATTAGCTTCTTCTTTTATCACCATCATAATTATAGAGGGACAACTAAAAATTACCAAACAGGAAAGTACCATATTTGTGAGATACATAAACAGGAGCATGTTCTACGCTGAGGCGCAGCAAACTTCTTATTAAGTGATCATTGATTCAAATTTTGGGAACAGGAGAATTCCTGACTACAGTAGCAGGATGCTTGGGGGGGGCTGATTATGTTTACTAGGTGTGTGACGAAGAAAGGAGTGGAAATGTAGGAAGAGCAAAGAAATGGAACTGCTGGATCATCTAGACCTGCTGCCTTAATAAAAGGATGATGCTGTCAGGCTTTATCATAACTGAGGAAATAAGTGGCTTGTTTAATTTATTGGAATGATGCTACAGGTTGAGTCTTCCTTATCCAGAATTCATAATCCAAAATATTCAAAAAATTATAGTGATATTGTAGATAGTGACACTTTTGCTTTCTGATTGTTCAGTGTTCACAAACCGTTTCACACAAAAAAGTATTTAAAATATTGTCTATAAAATTACCTCCACACTATGTGTATAAGGTGTATATGAAACATAAATGAATTTCATGTTTAGACTTCAGTCCCATCTACAAGATACGTCATTATAAAAACTCTGAAATCCAAAACACTTGTGGCTGCCCAAACATTTTGCATAAGGGAGCTTCACCTTATACTTGTTTTAATTTACTACAGGGGTAGGCAACCTTTTTGAGCCAGGGGCCGGGTTGCTTTCCCTCAGACAATTGGGGGGCTGAAGAACCAAAAATAAATAAATAAATAAAAATTAATAATAAATAAATAAATAAATAAATAAATATGCATGCACACTCTCTCAGCCCCAGAAAAGCCATGGCGAACCCCCCTGTGGAGATTTTGCCAAGAAAACCCCAAGAACAAGTGATAACAACAATATCATCATGGCGGGGGGGGGGCGGCAGCGGCAGGACTGGCCTAGGGCCGGTCCAAAGGCCTCGGGGGGCCGCATCCGGCCCCCCGAGGCCTTAGGTTGCCTACCCCTGATTTACTAGAATAATGTGTTTATGAATATGAGAAACCTTATATTCTGAAGCAAATTGATAATACAGTACTTTGAAGCCTTCCTTGGTTTTGTCAGCATTCTTCTATTCTTCTTTTTTCTAACTTCTGTTGTTTATTGTTTACATATCATGGAGATTTAGTAATCTGATTTAAAACTGCTATAAAGTTTCATGGCAGAAGATGCTTGGGTTTAATAGGGCTTAAAGGCACTAGATCCTATCTCATTTGGAAGCTCTGCAGAGTCAGCCCCGGTTAGTGCTTGGATGGGAAACTGTCGACAAATACCAGATGCTTTAAACTATATTTCAGAGGAAGGAACTTGCAAAACCACCTCTGAATATTCCTTGCCTTGAAAAACTCTGGAATTCATGGAGTTGCCATAGGTTGACAGCTGACTTGAAGGTGCATACACGCATAAGGAGTACGAGATTGATATTCCTTGCATTACTTTGAGGTTTGTTTGTTTTTTAATTGCTGTATCACTTTATTGTGGATGTTTTGGTACTTGGATGATCATGTGAATAGTTAAAGAGCTTGCAGATGTGACAGTTGTACAGCCATAGTCACAAGTCTAGATTCCCACAAATAGATTGTTTTAACAACCACATCTCCACCTCCTCGGTCTCCAAGTAAGATGCACATTCTTGTAATTCTATGTGGATTCCTGCATTTGAGAAATAAAAGAGGGCTGTGAAGCCCATGATTGGCACTTGTATGTTTAGAAATGGAAAGAAACGACAGGACATGATGGAGGAGCTACAGTTGATTCATAGCCTGGTATGCCTTTGTCTTATTAAAAAATAAACATTCAAAATCTCTAGATTGCAACTTTGTTGAAATGTAATCGTTGATGTACATGTTAATGAGTATGATAACAAAACATAAAACTGTGTTTCCTGACTAGGTCAGTGCAACTTTAACTTAGATACAGTCAGCAGTCTGTTTCCACGGACTTTTTATAGACGGATTCAACCATCCACAGCTTGAAAATATTCAAAAAATATATAAATTCCAAAAAGCAACCCCTGATTTGCCAATTTATATAAGGGACACCACTTTAATACCCACTGTATATAAGTCCCATTATATACAATGGGGTAGTGAAATGGTGACCTTTATATAAAATGGCAAATTCATTTGCTTTTTGGAATTTTTTAAAAAATACATTTTCAAGCCATGAATGGTACTTTGATATTAAAATTGAGTTTATGGTATTGAACTTAATTACCTTGAACTTCATTTCTATGCTTATTTTCAGAACAAACCTTAATGTACAACTAAACTGTCATATACTTATATACTTATTTTGATTATTCTTGTTTGGATTTGCTAGGAGTAGCAGTCTGAATGTGATAGTGTTCCAGAATAACTGCAAAGCAACACAATAAAGATTTAGTAGAGAAAAAAATTGCCAGTCAAGACATTTGCTAACCAGAATTCTCATGTCAAAACAAATCAAGTGTGCAGGAGTCCTGTAAATCCCTATATAGCAGAGGGCTCATGAAATGATAGTCAGATGGTTGATTCTGTAGTGGAGAATGAGGTAGTGGTGGTGGTTATGTGCCTTCAAATCATTTCCGACTTATGGTGACCTTAAGGCAACCCTATCTTGGAGTTTTCAGGGGCTGAGAGTGTGTGACTCACTCAAGATTGCCCAGTGAGTTTCCTTGGCCAAGCAAGGATTCAAAGAATCATAATCCAGTGCTCTAACCACTATACCACACTGGCTGTCAAGAGATGATGGCCTAAATCTTGACTAGAATAGACCAACTGTGATTTACCTACATATTGATTCAGCATTCAATGTTGATTTGAATGAGTGTACTCTAGTTTGGACTAACCAACAGGATTAGTGTGTGTGTGGAACACCTCAGCATTTAGAGTACAAAGACTCTTGGAGTGTAAAATATTTTTGTAAAAATTAAAGGATGTTTTCCCCCTTCACTGAAGTGGGAGAGAGGTATACTTGTCTTCACTTATTCATTCCTCTTCTAGTCACATATGTAGGATCAAGAGATCCTAGGGGGGAAATAGGCAAGAGTAGCTCCTCTTTGTGTGTGTGTGTGTCTTTAAGTCACCTGTCAGCATATGGAGACTCTAGGAATTTCATAGGGTTTTGTTAGGCAAGGAATACTCAGAAGTGGTTTTACTAGTTCCTTCCTCTGAAATATAACCTACTGTACAGCACTTGGTATTCATTGGCAGTCTCTCATCCCATCCAGGGCTAACCTTACTTAGCTTCCAGGATCAGCTGGGATCTGATGCCTTTAGGGTCCTTCCCTGTTAGTTCTTATTTACTGACAGTTAACTATGTAAAGTGGTTTGGATTTCATTCTGTTGTTAAAAAAGAGCCCACTTGGTTTCTGTTTTTTGTCCTTCTATAGGTACTGGCAATACAGTTGTAATTATGGTTGGATACCCAAAAGGAATGGAGATTTTGGAGCCAGTTCGAAGAGGAATTCCAGTGAAAATGACTATTGGTGTTGGTAAACAACACATACAAGAATATATCAGTGGACAGTCAGTTGTGTTTGTAGCAATTGCATTTATCACCATGATGATTATATCTTTAGCATGGCTTATATTTTTTTATATTCAACGTTTCCTCTATACTGGATCTCATTATAGAAACCAGGTAATTATCAGTGATGATTCTCTTTTTTCTGTCTGAAAGATGTTTGCCTACTAATAAGCAAATATTAAGTGAATGCATAACTGAAATGTTGTATAGCAACCTTTGTATCTTCTTGCCTCATCTCTAAATGCAATTTAGCCTGAATAAGTTTCTTAATAGCAACTCATGCTGCCTATTAGTATCTGGTATAACTTGTTTCAAGAACTAGACATACTTAACTACATTTGCTGTTCAAGTTAGTGTTTTGAACTAAAACTGAGATTGTCTTTAGGTGATGAAAGTAATTGTTCTAAGTCTACACCTTCATGTTTTACAGAGATAGACCAAATTAAGATTACCATTTAGTTATTTACTGACAGTGTACTAGAAGTCTATAGCTAAAAAAAACCCAGCCTAGTTCAGATCAATACAGGAAATCAACCCTTGACACTTCATTGCTTTTCTTCCTAATGAAGCTTTCACTGGCAAGGAGGTGTGATGGAAAAGCTTCATCTGTTTAATAAGTCTCCTTAGCTGCCCTTTCCCACTTTAAGTGCTGTAGCTCCATTCTATGGAACCTGGGATTTGTAGTTTGAAAAGTTATTTAGCCTTTTCTTCCAAAGAATGCTGGTGTCTCACAGAACTATGAATCCTAGGATTTTGTAGGATGGAGCCATGGTAGTTAAAGTGGTGTCAAACTGCATTGTATCTATAGTGTAGATGCACCATCTGTTTTCTGTTTCACAATATACTACTTTTTAAATTCTCCTCTCCACCCCCCCTTTCACCTTAATAGGTGTCTTTTTCCCATATTTCTTTCCTTAATCTTATCCCATCCTTACAATTTGTGGGAGGTGTTAATTACAACCAAGTTGACAACTTTCTTTTCACTTACTGTTTTTGTCTTCTACTACTTCTGCTGAAATGTTGGCATTATCATGAATGAACATGATATTACACCTGTTTGTGTTAG